TTGGATGAAGTCTAATTCTTTAAGTTGTTTGGTTTCAACTCCCTAAAAATGCGTTAGCTCGATTTCGATTTCTTATACTCAAACGAACATTGAGACAAATGCTGTATTCGATTAGGGACTGACCTGCAATTGTGTTATCTAGGATTCTAAAGTCAGTTTTAAATATATATACAACATGGTTGGAAGAAGAGTATCACGGTGCCAACTATAGACGATTCGCGTTCATACATCAAAGATGTGAAGGAAGCATTTCATGATGAATTGGCAAAATATCAAGAGTTTTTGAAGCTCTTGAAAGATTTTAGAACTCATAGGTATGTCTTGTTTTCTCCATCTTATGTTTGGTTTCAAGTCTTAATTATCATTAACTGACTCTGTCTCTTTCTGGTACCATTGCGAGGGTGGACGAACTCATGAAAGATCACCGGAATCTGCTTATTGCTTTCTATGCCTTTCTTCCAGCTGAGGCTAAGATAACCATCCCTCACGAGGCTGAGCAACCACCGCCCGAGCCTGAGCAACCTACTCCTTCTGATGCATTGGATTTTTCAAAAAAGGTTCAGGTATAGAATGCTGAAAACGGTAAACTGATCCAACTCTTTTGATATCTCAAACTATGGTTGGAAGAAGAGTAGGACCGGAGCTAATTGAGCTTTTATACCTCACTTCTTTGAAGGAAGCATTTTGTGATGAACCTGCAAAATATGAAGAGTTTTTGAAGCTCTTGAGTGATTGTAGAGCTCATAGGTATGAATTGTTTTCTCCCACTTGTGTTCAGTTTCAAGACTTACTTTCATGAACTGCTTCTGATGTTACTCGTCTCTTTCTAGAGTCGATCTCACTAGTACCATTGCGAGGGTGGATGAACTCATGAAAGATCACTAGAATCTACATCTTGGTTTCTATGCTTTCCTTCCTCCCGAGGCTGAGCAACCGCCTGCGCCTGATAATAACAAAAGAAAACGTGCTGGAAGTTTTATGAGCAAGCTTAAGGTATAGAAAACTAACCCCAAGGAAATATCATTTTCATGTCTCTTGTATGGTTACTTGTGATTGGAATAACAAATTGCTCAATCTGCAGACAAGGTTTCAGAGCATTGATCCTCACGTATACAAGTCATTTCGCGAGATATTGAAAATGTATCTAGAAGTGAACAAGCCCACATATGAGGTGTATGAGGAGGTAGGTTCTTGGTGGACCACTTTTTGTATTGCAATTTCTTAGTACGTGGTTTGATTTTCTTTGTTATCTTTGCAGGTCGTTACCTTTCTTGAGGGTAATGACGATTTAGTCATGAAGCTTTCCGACTTTTTCAATGGACCATCATCAATTTCAGCTCCTACTAGAGATAGTTAAGTGCATTATAAGAAGAGAGTGTCTAGGTTCTAACGAGAAGAGAGCTTATAGTTTTTAACGAGAAGAGATGTAGAGATTTGAGTTTATTTTGATTCTTATTCTAAAGAACATGACATGCACATATGAACAAATATGCTTCTATATTGACTGTTAATGATTGGATATAAGACTGGGTATAAGAGACGAGAAGAAACTGTGAAGTGTCTTTTATCGATTCTTCCGGCATGTACACTTGCTTTTTATGAGTAACTCTTGACTCTTTTTACCAATCAGACATGAGATTTGGCCGTATCGATTTTTGTTTTTATTGTTTGGCCATCAAACTTTTGGAACTCTGAGAGGAAAAACAGAGTTCAACTTAGTAATAATAAGAGAGAGAACACCAAACTCAAACCTATGTAAGGTTGGAGAAAGGATGGACTAAAACATTGATAAATATACGATGTTAATGGAGAAGTTATAGAAGTCTTTGCTAAACGATCTCAAGCTGGTGACGTCGTTGTTGATGATTCAGTTATTATGGAGATTGTCTCCTTTGAATTCAACTTTTTGATAACCCAAGCCCACAAAAGTGTTGTACATCCATACTCCTCTACGGTTGCAGGACCTTCAAGTTAACTCATACCAACTTTCAAAAAAGTATCATTGCAACTTCTAATGGTCCGTCCGAAACCGGAATTTTGATTAACTTCCCAATGTGAAGCATCATAGTTATATTTGACTCAATCCCTTGCTAGTGGTTTCCCCCTCGTTTGTTTGTTGTTGTGTTTGCATTAATTGCACATTAATGTTCCCATAGGTGTGGAGGTCTGATCCATTCCCTCACATGCCAAGCATGCGGAGGGGTTGGACAGTTATGATCAAAGGGAGGGTGGGTTGCAACTCTTCGGGTCGCGTCTGTTCACATAAAAACCTACTAAAAAGTAGACTTTAAATGGATTCTGATATTCACGCTCATAGGGAAATTTTTGTAGAAAACACGAAAGAAGGATTGAGATTAAAAAGATGGCTCAAGAGAGAATATATTTAAGGTCAGAAGCGCACCAGAGCGGTTTGCGGTGACCAGGCAGATTGTCGCGCAACATTGCACCAAAGGGAACTTAGCCGTGGAACAAAGGAGTCAGAGGTAGGAAGCGTTCTCCAGGTTGCGTGACTAAAGTTAGTTTGGGACAGTGGACTTGATGCTCGGATCCGTGACATCCCGTTCGTCTGGTCAACTCTAAGTGTTGGGCTAAGTCTTTCTTGATTAGTGGGCATATTCTGCATAAATGTTCGTTGGATGCATTAAACGATTAACTTCATTAATTTGCATGACTTGGAGAAACCCACGGTAAACGAGTGATTTGGAAATAATGTATTTGTTAACAAAATTTAATTATTATTTGTTTAAAAAAAAACAAATTTTCAAGAATTTTATGGAATTTTTTTTTATTTTTAAAAATTTTTTTTGGTAAAATTATATTATTAAAAATTTTTAAAAAAAAATAGAGATTATTAGTTTGTTAACACGAGTTCTAAAACCGAGTAGACGGACCAGAGTTGAGTTATTAAACAAGTTAAAAGAAAATAATTGAGTTAGACATTCCAAAATTAGGATATTAACAAGTTTATCAGAATTTAATTGAAGTATTTTTATAGAATTTTTTCCGAAAAGAAATGCGATATTCACTTGTGGTATTCCCTAAAATATATAAACACACACACTCGTGAAATAGTAGTCAAAAACAGTCGCAGTGGGTTCTGGAAAATCTTCAAGTCCGTTTCTCTGCGAAGACGAAGCTTCTTCTTGCTCCTTCGGTAACTCTTTCTTCTTCCGTTCTTGTGAAATTTGGAATCGCCTTTCTCGATTAGGTTTAAGATTCAGTTCTCTGGTTCGTTGCTTTCTCGATTCTCGTCGGATTATCTTCTAATTTCTTGATCAGTGTTTTCTTTCGATCTTCTAAGGATCGTGTTCGGTGGAATTTACATGAATTTTTACGCTACAATATGAAATTTTCATGATCCTTCCAAATCGGCAATATATATGTTGTTTTGGTCTGGAGAATGAGATTGAGGCGTCGAAGCTAATGTTTGATTTGATTTGGGTTTTGATTAGTTTCACTTTCACCAACAAATGTTGATTTATGGGATAAGTTTCTTGAGGAATGAGCGGAGTATTTTCTGCACAAGCTTCTATTTCTTCAAGGATTCTAGATAGTCAATTTAAAGAAACAGAAAAGGTGAATCTTGGTTTCTTATACTCTTTTTAATCGCTGAGAAATGGCATTGAGGCATCGAAACCAATGATTTTTTTGTTTGGGTTTCGATTAGTTTCATTCGCACACAACAAAATATGTTGAGTTTATCAAATTTTCTTGTTTCATGCATGACTTCTTACTGACCTGCAATTGTAATAACCGGAAGGGATTCGATGGTTGATCTGATCTGTTTTAATGAACAGTGGATTAGGCCAATATCACATCATGGTTCAAAGAATAGTACCACCGGAGCTAATTAAGTTTGATGCGCGTTCATACTTCAAGGCTGTGAGGAAAGCATTTCACGATGAACCTGCCAAATATAGCAAGTTTGTAAAGCTCTGGTATCATTCTAAAACTCACAAGTATGAATTTTTTTCTCCCTCTTATGTCTGGTTTGCGCTTGATTTTAACTTCCAATCTACAACAACAAACACATGTGAATTGTTTCTGATGTTACTTGTCTCTTTCTAGACTCGATCGCGCTAGTGCCATTGCAATGGTGAAGGAACTCATGAAAGATCATCCGAATCTGATTCTTGGTTTCTATGCCTTCCTCCCACCCGAGGCTAACAAAGGGTTTGGCCAATCACAAACCATAGTTGGAAGAAGAAGAACACCGGATGCAACTATGGATGCTGCGTTTTCATATGCTGTTGATCTGATGGAGGCATTTTATGCTGAACCTGAAAAATTTGACGAGTTTACAAAGCTCTTGAAAGATATAAAAGCTCATAGGTATGATTGTTTCTTCCCTGTTTTATTTGGGTTGCTCTTTATTTCAAGTCTCAATCTACATAGCAAAACACACATGTGAATATTGATGTTACTTGTGTGTCTTTGTAGAGTTGATGTAGCTACTGGCTATGCAAGGGTGGGGGAACTCTTGAAAGATCACCGGAATCTGCTTATTGGTTTAAATGCCTTCCTTCCACCTGAGGCTAAGATAACCATCCCTCCCAAGGCAAATACAACCATCGCTCCTGAGGCTAAGAAACCTACTCATTCTGATGTAATGGATTATCTTAAGAAGACTAAGGTATAGAATGCTGAATGTTAAACAAATCCCAAGTAAATACCACTTTTGATAATTCAAACCATGGTTGGAAGAAGAATACCACCAGAGCATTATGGATGACAAGCTTTTCTACCTCATTTCTTTGAAGGAAGCATTACATGATGAACCTGCAAGATTTGAAGAGTTTATAAAGCTCTTGAACGATAGAAGAACTCGTAGGTATGAGTTGTTTTCTCCCTCGTGTTTAATTTTCTCTTGATTACAAGTCTCAATCTACACAACAAAACACACATGTAAATTGGTTCTGATGTTACTTGTCTCTTTGTAGGCTCAGTGTCGCTAACACAGTTGCAAAGTTGGAGGAACTCATGAAAGATCACCCGAATCTGCTTCTGGGTTTCTATTTCTTGTTTCCAAAGAGTAAGAAAACCATCCCTTCCGAGGCTGAGCAACAGGCAGCAGCTAAGAATAACAAAAGAGAACGTGCATTGAATTTTGTTCGAAAGCTTAAGGTATTGTCGTATAGAACCCTAAAATGGTAAAACTGATCCTGAGGAAATACCATTTTGATGTTTCCTCTATGCTAAACCGTGATTCAAATAACGAGTTGTGTTTGAGGTTGCAGAGCATTGGGTATCATGTATTTGTGTCATTTAGCGTGATAATGGAAATCTACAGAGATGGAAACATGTCCAGAGATAAGGTGTACCATGAGGTAGGTTCTTGGTGAGCCACTACTTTGGGTTACAGTTTCTTAGTTCTTGGTTTGATTTGGTTTGTTATCGTTGCAGGTCGCTGCAATTCTTCGGGCTCAGGGTCATGAAGAGTTAGTCATGGAGCTTCCCGAGTTTTTCAATGTAATCGCTGATTGGCCAGCATCTACTGAAGATAGCCAAGCACAGGAGAAAACTGTCTCTGCTTTAGGTTAGGCTGCTTGGATATAATAACATAAGAGACGAACAGAGTGTGTATAGTTTCTTTTGTAGATTCTTCTCACATGTATTCGATAGCCTACCATACCTATATGTGAAGAT